TTTTCCATTCAATTCACTTTGAATGGATTTCATGAGCAGCATTTATTTATTTATTTATTTAATTAATTAATTTGTGTCCCACCCATCTCCCCCAGCGGGTGACTCAGGGGAGCTCTTTAGTAAAATTACATCTCTATTTGCAGATTTACGTAAAACATTTTGAACTACAACATCACCTGCTTACTTTTCAATTATGTTGCTTTAGTTTCTGTGTGGTGATGTTCCCCCCTGCCCAGAGGGAGGTATATTTAGCAGTAGTCATACCTTATGACAATATTTTGTAGTTAAAATCAGTGACACATGATTGGGTTGTTATTATTGTTATATGCATTGTTAGTAGGAACTTAGAAATATTTGTGAATTTCTCCATAACTGTGAGAAAAAAGCATAGAAAATAGTGTTTCATAGATTAAAAAAAAGTGAGTATAAAGATAGTCAACCCTGGAAGTATTACTCAATTGCTGCAGCTGTCCATGTCTTTGTCACCATCATTTCTGTTTCCATCTTTAACAGCTACATTGCAAGGATGTACTGTATACTGTGCGTACCTTCATTTGGTAGTTTGTAAAAAACAAAATCATAAATAGAACAAAAAGATTTTTTTTAAGTTTCAGAGAATGAAATAAGGGAGTAAGATAAACTGGGAAATTAGGCTTTCAGTCTAAAGGGGTCAATGGTTTGAATGCATGTGAGTTCAGCTATACTCAAAATAATTCCCTCTATTTTTCTGTCAGGTTTCTGCCCTCAGCAGGTAGGAATATCTTTCTGTCTTTGCCCATGTTGGGTTTAGTGATATCAGATGCATTTGGCAAATGCAGATAAAATGAATATTTTTGTATTTCTAAAACAAAACAAAGCTGCTTCATAGAAGGGCTGAAATGAAAGAAAAACTGCTATTGGCCTGCCTCTTCCACCAGTATTATAACCAGCCAAGTTGATAGAACTTTGTGACATTCAGATCTAATAAAATCTACAACTTATCGGGGCTGTAGGAAGTGCTATTTAAAGATCTTTATTGTTTAACAATTCTGCAAAGGAAGAAAGATCAGTGCTTCTTAGCCCTACCATGTGAAATACAGAATGGAGATTCTGAAGATTTACTTGAGATCGAAATCTTATTCATCTCTTTATGAAATTGAAAAAAAAAATTCATTGGTCCATATAAATAAGTTCTGATATGATTTAAACCATTACTTTAGATTATATTCCAATTGAATCAAATCAATATGTCCAAACTGGATCAAGTCAAATTGTTCTGAAACTAGGTTGAATGAAAACTTAATGAATCTTCTAAATCATACAGCTTAATTTGTTTTTTTGTTTTTTGTTTTTTTAAATTTTGTGGATAACATTCAACCAAGGTAGTGAAATAAGTGCAGAAATTGTTTTAGCTGGAATTGTATTTATAAGGAAAGGGACAGTTTAGTCTACACTGAATATTTTCAGGAAGAAAGGAAGAAATTACTCATCAACTGAGATAGAATTAAGTGAATAACTCACCGTCTTTACTCAAAAATATTTCTTTCTTTTTCCCCTATTATCTTTGTGCAGCCATCAGAAAGATTTTATGCTGTGGAGCTATCAATGACAATTTATCCAATTTCTCTTGCCATTGGTCTCCATTGGCAGCATAATATGGTGCAGCAGAAGTTTTACTGAGTTCCCTGGGATGTGTCCCAAGAGTCTATATTACTTTAGCTGAAGAATTCTATTGGGGGGGGGGGGGAATCACTAATGTCTTAATTTGCAAACCTGATAACAGGAGAGGATACATCAAGATAGCTGAGCACTACATTTGTTTTCCTGCCCATTTTTCTGTACTAGAAATCTAAAATTCTGCCAATTGAAATTATTTTAGGATATTGTTAAGGGTGGGATGTTAGCTTCTTCTAACACATATTGTCCTATTTCATCTTGTGAGGTGGGTGGTTAAAAATCATTACAGTTATTTTAAACTAAGATGCTGTTGCTACTTATACAGTGTGTGTGTGTGTGTGTGTGTGTGTGTGTGTGTGTACAATTTCTTGAGGTTTATCAGTCCTGTTCAAACATAACTTTTGTGTGAGCATAAAAAATAGAGGTTGTCAATACCCAGCTTTTTGGACAGGTGGGAGCTACAGTGGGACAGTTGATCATGAAAATTCAGTGGGACCCTATTATTTGTATTATTATTATTGTTGTTGTTGTTGTTATTTGATGAAGACTTTTTTTAAAAAAAAAGACTTATAATTCAAATTTCTGTTTCTTTTAACATGAAAGATTGGGTAATTGTGCACCCATTTCTGCTCAGATTGGTTCTGGGACCTTGAAAATTAGTTCTTGGAACCTCTTATGGCCCTCAGATTCCTTTGAATTTAATATTTCTTACTCTTAGCTAGATCAATCTAGGACTGTAATTTTAATTTCCTTCCATGTATGAGTCAACAATTTCCTCAAATATCTTACCAAGATAGTCCAAATTTTAAAACCTTAATTGTACCATAATCATTTAGCTTCTTTTAGAAACATGAAAATTCCACCTATATTTCATGTCAATTACTGTTTCTTACTTTAGATTTGTAAGATTCAGATCAGTAATAAGACCAAAGGCTGTGATAGGATTCAAGTCTATTTGAAATGGATGCCAGTAAAGATGCCACTTGAGCACAATCACCCAAATTTTCATCTTGGTACCATCACTATAAAAAGCATAGAAGCCTCTCCCAGTACCTGATTAACACAACCAGTGCTTCACTGAGAAGGGATTTAACTTCCCTTTGCCTGCAGTCCATGCCCTCCACATATCTCAAAGGGAGAGTTTGAAACCTCCTTGTCAAAGAATGTCTCTGTCCTTCTGGTGTTGGACAAGTGAAGGACTTCATTCATTATGTCCTCCACTGCCCCATTTACAATGATATCAGGTCCAAAATATCAGTGGTAGGGAACTCAAGAGCTTGGACCTCAAAAAATATAATTGCCTTCTTGCAGACATGTTCCCAACTGTCAGCAACCAAGTTGCTACTTTTGCTCTGCTGTCACTGAAACTTAGAAAGAAATACTTAAGTTCTTAGTTGTAACTTTGGCTTTATCTTACAAGCTTTTTACATCTAATAACCATTTTTATTAATTTATTTTACAATATTACTATTTTACTGTTATTGTATTGTATTTTATTTTTGTGAGTACAATAAACTATCATCTATCTATCTATCTATCTATCTATCTATCTATCTATCACTTTTAAATGGACTATTCAGGCCATTAATATTAGTTGAAAATACTGTAAGTTAGTCATCATTTCCAGAAATGCCAATTGGTTGGTCCATGTTCTGATCTCTTACGCCTTTTTCTATTACAGATTAAGAGTTGAGCATCTTCATTGCCTTGTCTAGGTACACAAAAGCTTTGCCTGTGTCCCGAACAACCTCTGGACAAAATGGAGTAGTCAATCTGTATTTTATCTTTTTATTTTGGAGAAACCTTGATTATTTGGAATGAACTTTTTGTCTGCAGATCTTAAAATCATGTGCTGTGGCCATAATTTTTTTCAAATGGATACAGAATAATTATAAAGAAAAAAAGCTAAAATTGTAGTGAATGGTCTTACTTCACAGTAATGCAGTCTTTCATCTCTTATGTTATTAGCATTAGAACCACTGGCAATTCAAATAGATCGAGAAAATAGAATCTTAGGACAGAAATTAACTATACATGAACATAAACTGAAATTATTTGCTGATAATATTGTGTTAACAATGACTCAACTTAATGATTCTTTAATAGCATTGATGGAACATTACAACAATATGGTTCAGTGTTAACTTACTGAATCAGTAAAGATAAAATTGAAATGCTGATGCGGAACATAAATGCAGATGATAGGCAATCTGTGTATTTATGAATTTTCTTGACATAAAATAATAAAGATCAATTTGATAATATTTACCAACTTCGAAACATATATCAACAGCTATTTATACTCTGTATCTTATTACACAATGCCCTACTACATTTAATTGATCCCAATATTTTCAAATAAGCAGCCCAACAGCAAAAGAATTATGGAAACAAAGGGAAAACTGAGAAATTTGCCTGCATTTGAAAATTGTATAAGACATAATGATGAACATTTGTTAGGAACAGTTTATAATTTACCAGTGAAATACAATTCAGAACTTAATCAAGTCAAAAACTGTATGCGGAATTTGAATACAATTATAGAGATGCAGCTGTAGGAATTTCACTGGAAAAGTACATTCAATTTACTTTTACTATTATACTCAGAGACAACTGATACAAGATGTTTTACCATTGGTAAATCACTCTAGTCATAAGGATAAAATGTGCCTTTTATTGGAAAAAATCTTTGATCACCTCTTCAGAAGAATGGCTAAATAAATTGTAGAAGTATGCCTCGACCTCTAGAACCACAGGAAAAGGGCTGCTATAGAAAAAACTTTCATCCCCCTCCCGCTTTTCAGAGTTCACAGTCGAAAATAATATCTCAGTAATTTTCAGTTGCTCTTCCCCCTTTCTGTCTATTTTTTTCTGCTATTCAATACATTGAATACAATCAAAAGCCCC